ATTATGCCCTGGGGGAGACCGAGATAAATGTCCCTCCCGTCCATGTGGACTTTGTATGGGGACGAGCCATCTAGGCCCGGATGAGTCTGCACTGTGACACGGGCTCTGTGGGAGCTACGCCCAGGGGGAAACGGCATCCGGGAAGGTTCCATAGAGCAGGGACACTGCAGAGAGCTCTCCAAGGGGAGCAGGGGTTGTTAGAGGTGACGGTGTCAGCCTTGCTCCGGAGGGCTGGCGGGGAACAGCCTGGAACCCAGTTCTGGCCCTGCCATATTGTGCCAGCTGTGGGAATGAATTCCTAGCTGCCGGGTGCCTAAAACGGAGCCTGGCACACAGCAGGTGCTTTGCGCTTGCTGTTGTTAGTCCCGTCCTGTCTAGCTATCATCTCCGTGGTCTTGGGCTTGCCTCCCTGACGGGGCTGTGGAGCCGGTGCCGGGAGCCTGTGGGTCTAGGACCGGGGGGGCTTCCCTACACCCCTGACCCCAGCACCCGGCCCGACGGACATCACATGGTAGCTGCCCGTTGAAATCTATTTGCTCAAGGAAGGATTTCTGGCCATCACCCCATATGGTGATAAACATGGCCCCTGGCCTTTTCTCCTTCCTCTTAGGGGGTGAGAGGTGCTGCAGACCCTCCCCGGATCTCTGTCCCTGTCCCAGCCGCCAGTGTCACCCTGCCTTCCATCCTTCTGGCCGCTTCCCACAGTGCAGGTCCTAACCAACAGCCCTGGTGGAGGAAGGGCGGAGGGTCTGGGCAGCCGCCCGGGGAGCACCGACGGAGGGGGGTGCTCCTTACTTTCAGGGGCCCACTGAGAAGCCTGGCGAGTCCAGCAGGGAGCAGTCAGGGTGCGCAGGGCCCCACAGTCTGAGAAGCAGAGGTTCTGCAGTGTATAGCCAGGGGGGATGGGAGGGGCCCTCGCACGCAGGAGGAAGGTCTGGGGAGGTGAGGGGAGCCCAGAGGGCCGGGGAATGCAGCTGGTGCAGGCTTCTCTGAGCCTCAGTTTCTTTGTCTGCGAAATGGGAAGCCCGGTGCCTACTTCCCTGGCTTCAATGAGCCGCTGTGGACAAAGTAGGTTCACAGTGGCTGCCACCTGTTTGGGGCCCAGGGAACCGGTGAGAACTTTCTCCCAGTCTCTCTGCACATCCCCATCTGTGCGTGCTGCGACTTCCTCCTTCCGGACCCCATCTCTGACACCCCTGGGATCCCATGCAGCTCTCAGCCTGCTCAAGACTCGGCCTGGCCCACCAGGGACCGGACACAGGGACAGAGAGCTGCCCACCTTCACGCTGAAGGAACCCGGAGTCCACCTCTTCTGTACCCTCTGGGGTCCCTGCCTCCTTCCCCATCCATCTTTGACAGACCCGAAGGGACATCACAGAGCACGACCCAAGCTTGGAGGTTTCTGGAATTCATGAAAAAAGCGCCACACTGGTGGCGGAAGTGTTCTCAAGGTCTGGGTGCCTCACACCCCCCCGGGCCGTCTGCTTCCTTGGAGAAGGGTCCTGGGCCCTCCTATTTTCCCAGCCAGGAGGCCTGCGGGTTCCCACATTACCACATGAATGGGGCACAAGCCCTTCGTCCACTCGAGCAAACAATTTGGCTAGCAAATTGACATAATTATGAGAGACAGAGAGGGAAGAAAGCGGCCCCCACCCCCGGGGGCCCCCCAGCGGGGGGCTCCCGCCAAGCTCCTCCCTGCCTTTGTGGGCCCGGGCGCTCAGGGCTGATTAGAAACCGTGTGGCCTTTTCAAGAGCCCTAAGTGATTGGCCCCCTTAATCTGATTACAATTTGCAGAGCCCCTCCAGCCGCCTTTGAAGGGCCTTTCTCAAGCACCCCGCTTGATGGTGCACACACACACACGCACACGCACACACACACACACACACACTCAGCACCCACTTGGGCCTGCTGGTAGGGGCTCTGCCTCCTTGCTCTCCATTCCTCACTCAGCCGGGGACCTCCAAGTCACCCCACTTGCTGTCATCAGGCCCCAGTCCCCTCAAGGTATGCCCTAAACCTCAGACACACACTGGGTCACCTATCTTTAAATTTTTTTTTTTTTTATTTCTGAGAGAGAGAGAGACAGTGCATGAGCAGGGGAGGGTCAGAGAGAGAGGGAGACACAGAATCTGAAGCAGCTCCAGGCTCTGAGCTGGCAGTCAGCACAGAGCCTGATGCGGGGCTCGAACCCACGAACCGTGAGATCATGACCTGAGCCGAAGTCGGACACCCAACCCACTGAGCCACCCAGGCGCCCCTGGGTCACCTATCTTTAGGGTCCCGCACAGACGCACCGGCCCGGCAAGGGGCACGTGTGGACACGCACACCCCACGGCCACACCGCCACATCACGGGGCCTTCTTCCCCAAACAGAGCATGCAGGATGGTGCTGCGGGACCCCAGCCCGGGCGGCCCTCTCTCCGCAGCAGCCTGTTTCTGGGTTTCCTTCTGCTGCTGCTCCCAGGGGATGAGGCCCAGCCTGGACACAGCTCGGGCACAGGCCGCCCCGGCTACCCCTCCTGGGAACTCGGCTCGTTCACGGGGCTGCTGTCAATGGCCTCAGCCCTCCACGGCCACTCTGTAGCTCTTAATCCCCGAGGCCCAGCCACAATGGCTCCTTCTCCTGCCTCTCGCAGGCCCCACCCCAGATGGAGCCCCCCCCCCCGGGCAGCAGCTTAGGGTGAGTGTGGGGGCGCGGTGCAAATCTGGGGCTGATGCAGAGGGGACAGAAGGTGGGGCTCTGGGCCTGTTAGCTAACCACCTGTACCCCAGGAGGAGCGAGTGAGGCCTGTGTGGGTGCGGAATACGCCCAGGCCCCCCCCCCACAAGTGACCTCCCAGCCTGCTGCACCCCCGTACTTCAGGGTCCTCAGCCTGGAGGCCCTGAGAAGTGTTCTCTCCACTTAGGAATCCCGCTCTTTTCTCTGACTGTCCGGAAGACCTTCGTCTGGCTGGGCCAGGAGCCAGAGGGCGGGGACCATGGGAGCCCAGGTTGAGATGCTGGAATCAGAGGGACTTGGGCCCCAGTCTCACCCTAGCACCACCTTTAATAACTCTGTCACCTTGGAAAGGTTGCTTATCGTCTCTGGGGCCTCAGTCTCCCCACCTGTGAGATGGGTGTGCTCCACGCTTTCTCTCTGGGTGGCTGGTAGAGTAAGTAACATAGAACAGTAAGGCGCTCAGCATGGCGCCCGCACACAATTAGCATGGATACATGGCCGGTGTCATCATTCGTGAGTCAAGACCGGAAAGAAACTTGGGGTTACAAATACAGACGGGAGGGGGGACAGTCTCTGCGAACCCCCCACAGCCCTGCTGGAAAAGCGACGCTCTGCAATGCAGGGGGGCGGGGGGTGGGCGTTCTAGGACAAGCCTCCAAGTCAGTCGCCAACCTTCTTAAAGACCTCGTCTCTGATCACGTGACGCAGAGCTAGTCTGGGCGACCAGGAGCCTAGACACAGGTGACTCCCTCCGTGGAACCTGGTCAGGGGCTCCCAGCGCGGCCTCCACAGTGGCCTGAAGCGACCGCCCGCTGCACGGTCCCCGGGACCCAGGTCAGGTAACGGGGGAAGGGGGGGAGGGCCCAGAGCCTCAAAGCCCGGTGCTCCGCGGGGTCTCACCCCATTCTGCCGGCCGGACCCTCGGGGCAGGCTTCGGGAAGGTCCCCTGCGGCGCGCGCCCCGCCCCTCCCGGGCGCTGGTGGGCGTGGCGCGGGGCTGGGCGGCGCGGCCGGGGGCGGGCGGCCGGGGGCCGGGCTCCGCGGAAATCAAAGCCGCCGCTCCGCTCCTCGCCACGCCGCACCCCTGCCGCGCCACCGCGCACCTCCTCCTTTGTCACAATGTTTTTCAATCCGGTGAAGCAAACTGTCCAATTAGAGCCGGGGCCTCCAGCTTCCATCTTTGCCGACGTTTAATTAACATGCTCCTCTTGGCAGCTGCTGACAAGTTCCAGAAACAGGTTGTAAAGGGTTTTTGTCTTTACCCAGCATGGAAAATGAGGGGTGTTACATCGCGGGAACATGAATAGGTTGCATTTCAGCTCCCTCCTCCCCTCCTTCGCCTCCCCATCCCTCACCCCCCGCTTCCTCTGGCACGGAGAATGAAGGCCCGAGTGTGTATGTATGTGTGAATTGTGAGGGGGGCGGGGAGGGCGGATTTGGAGGCAGGAGAGACCTTCTCCTCCCTCTCTCCTCACCCCTTCCTCGCTGGAGTCTGCTCCACAAAGGATCCGGATTATACTGCTAACTCTCCAGCCGGCACACTTTTGCCTCACGTCTCTTTTAGCCACACCAAACCTCGCTCTGCTGATTTCCATCTCTGGGTCTCTGCCCAGGCTGTGCCCGTGCCATCCTTCCGGTAAACTCCTATTCAGTCTCCAAAACCCTGCTCAGAGCACCCACTCTGGTAGGCCACCTGGGTATGCAGTGGCTGTCGAGAGTTCAGGGTGGATCCCGGTGTCAGGTGGGCCCTCAGCTAGACAGCGGGACCCCTAAGTAGGTGGGAAGTGTGTGTTCCTCAGCCCGGGGTGGTGGCTGGTCACAAGAAGTGGTGAGATCCAAACTGCAGAAACCTTCCTGCCACAGTGGAGGGAGGGCAGGCTGGCTTGGCAGGGAGGAAGAGGGAAGGGTTGGGGTAGGGGATTAGCCCAATGGAGCCCTTCTCCCCTATTCTCCCACCCTGCCCCCCGAGTGCCCTTGAAACAGAGCAGGGTCACAGGGAGGGCACCGTGGGTATGGCAGTGTTCACAGTGGATGAGTTTCTGGGGTGGTTGATGTAAAGTAAGGACGGGCCTTGGGGAAAGACCCCAGCCCCAAAGCTGAGCCTGGCAGCGGGCCTTAAGTGGGGGCAGCCTCCAGCACCCCGAATTCTTCCTCTGCAGCCCAGGATGGCTTCCCTTGCATTGTGGGGGGCAGCTTGGAATGGAAGGTCAGGACAGAGGCCGGCGGCCAGGTCTTTGGGGTGCTTCTGTCCCTCAAACTCGCCCTGGAGCATTCACACCCATTCTACAAAGAATGTTTATTCACAGAGGCTTCCATCTGCATGGCACAGAGAGGTCTGGGGGGCCCTGGGGGTAAGGGAGGCCCTGGTGGAGGGGCAGTGGGGGGGCAGGCAGGGAGCAGAAGTGCCCAGCAGTCGGGCTAAGTTGTCTCCAGGAAAGGCTCAGGCCACTCTTCGCTGCCAGCCCCCTCCTGCCTTCTCTTCTCAGGATGTGGCCATCAAGACCCCTGGAGGCAGGCCTCCTGCCGCCAGAACCGGGCTTCGATGCCCACTTTGTCTATACCTCTTCCACCTCCATTCTCAGGCAGGCTCCCTGGGATGAAGGGGAAAGGAAGTCGGGGGTGCCCTGGGCCAGGCCAGCAGGTGGGGTGCTGCTTGCTTTGCTCCTGTTCCCAGCTCAGTCAGTACTGCTCCCTTGGGAGGCCCGGACAGTCTGTGGAGCCTGCGGGGAGAGAGCCGAGAGAAGGGGGCCACTGTGGGGACCCGCTGTAGCCCCTCGGGCCCCTTCGCCTTTTCCGGACAGGGTGGGCATTAAAGGCAAGTGGTCACAGCCTTGGTTTTCTTATGGTCCTTAAACCCCCACACCCTCTCCTGCGACATCACCCAGTCTTGTGGCCCAGACGCAGGGCTTTCCAAGCTCTGACCTCCAAGGGGGATCAAATAGCACTACTGAGCGCAGATGATAATGACCTACAAAGACCCCGGTTTCTCCACTTGCACTCTGCAGCCTTGGAGAACCTGAACTTTTCTGAGCCTCAATTTTCTCATCTATTGGAAAGAGGGAAGTAGTTGCACCTGTTGCGTAGAGCTCTCTGGGGAAGGTTAGCTGCAAAAGGCACGAGAAAGGGCTTGGTGCATTCCACACAGGGGCAAGGAGATGCCAGCGGATGGGGAGAAGAGAGGAGACAGAGGGAAGGAAGGAAGAACTAGCCTGAGTTGATCGACTGAATAGAGCCAGGCCTGTCAGTCCCACTTTTATAAATGAGGAAATTGAGGCTCTGGCTCTGGGTGAAGAGAGCCTCAAAGTCACAGCCAGCAAGCAGCAAAGCCAAGTGTGCACCCAGGTCACCTTCTGTATATTCCTTCCAGTTCCGAGTGCCTTCCACATATTCCCATGCCCGTCCAGCTTGCAAGGAGTCTGACTAAGTGCTACCCCTCCCCCCCTCCCCCTGCTGGGTGCTCACTCCAATCCAGGCAGGAGGGGTGGAAGCTCACATCCCCATTTCTTGGTGCTTTCTGTTTGCCCCTTTGCTGGTGTCACCCAGTTCCCAGAGCTAGGCACCCACCGGGAGACCCGGCCCACGCTCTCACCTGCTTCTCACCTGCCCTGAGGGTTTAAGGTTCTGAGGGCTTGAGGGTGGAGTCCTCAGGATGTAAGACAGTGCTCTTCAGCTCCTCAGGCATCTGCAGAGAGAGGAGGGCATGTCCAAGGGGCCTGCCCTAGGCCAGGCCGGTGTCCCTGGTAGAATTAGAACAGCCTGGGCAAGTCAGGAGCAGCGTATTGTGTGTGGCGGGCGCCACCTTGTGATCGCTGTGCAGATTGCATGCCGAGGGGCAGGGCGTTCCTTCACACAGGTGTCCTGCCCCCTACATCAGGCTGGCCACTGTCCAGGGTGCTGGTGCACTGCGAGCCTGAGGCAGAGTCCTTGCCCCTCTAGAGCAATGCGAAGGCGGTCAGCTGACAGGCACAGCGACAATACGAGCTGCAAATGCACGAGAGGCCGATAGCCCAGTCGGGGGTGGGGAATTCTGGTTGTGCTGAACCCACTTTTGATAGATGAGCAATAATGTGCCAGGGAGACGCAGAGTGGCAAGCGCCCTGAATAGCAGGCAGGTCGTAAAGTGGGGGTGAGGTGAGGGAAGGGGGATAAATGGATTGGCAGGTGGAGTGGGAGTGGGATGGATCTGCATTGCCTTGGCTTCAAGGCTTAGCTTGATCTTAAAGATTGCCTCATCTGGGGCGCCTGGGTGGCTCTGTTGGTTGAGCATCCAACTCTCAGTTTTGGCTCAGGGCATGATCTCACGGTTTCATACGTTAAGCCCTGCGTCGGGCTCTGAGCAGTGCAGAGCCTGCTTGGGATTCTCTGTCTTCCTCTCTCTCTGCCTCTCCCCTACTAAAGCTGTCTCTGTCTCTCTCAGAATAAATTAATAAACTTAAAAGAAAGATCGCCTCATCTGAGGTCCTGGGGACATTTGTGCCATCCCGTCCTCTGGAAAGCCACCTCATCTCCTAGGAAAACCACCCAGAGGCCAGGGGCTGAGGGGACGGCCCGATGGTGGCTCACTTTCACTGACACAGAATTACAGTCCTCAAAACCGAGCACTGCTGAAAAGTACACAGCAGAGAGAAGGTGTGAACTTAGAATAAATTATAAAGATCAAAACAGAACCAAGAGTGAACTTCTATATATGGGAATTGATAACATCTTTTAGTTTACTTCACTGGTGTCAAATCTGTGATTTCTAATTGTGGTGTCTAAAGTAGTTTAAATTCTGACTTTAAATATGGGATGAAAATAATTATGCTGCTAAAAAAAGAAAGTTTATTAAGAATGTAATAATAGAATACTTCTTAGAAAGAGCAGGATCTCAAATTGGGCATATAATCTCCACTGTGTAAAAAAAAAATCAGGGCACCTGGGTGGCTCAGTCAGTTAAGCATCTGACTTAGGCTCAAGTCATAATCTTATGATTTGTGAGTTTGAGCCATGCATCAGGCTCTGTGCTAACAGCCTTGAGTCTGGAACCTGCTTTGGATTCTGTGTGTCTCATTCTCTCTCTGCCTCTCCCCTGCTCACACACACACTCTCTCTTTCTCTCTCCAAAATAAACATTTAAAAAAAAAACCTGTGCGGATTAAAAAAAAAAAAAAAGACTGGAGGTAAATATACTCAAAACATTAACAGTGCTTGGGTTAAGATGATAGGATTTCTTTCTATTTTTCTCTATTTCCAGATTTCCTTTAATGGGCTTTTATTCATTTTATAATTAAAAAATAACTTAAAGAGAATGAATTCAGAAGCATTATTAGCTATGAACATGAAATTGGCTTATAGTGGATATCAGTTAAAATTACCCAGAAAGCTTCTGGGGCGGTTTAAAAATACAGAGCCAAGGGTGGCTCAGGCGGTTAAGTGTCCGACTCTTGATTTCAGCTCAGGCCATGATCTCATGGTTTGTGGGTTTGAGCCCCACAGCGCAGAGCCCACTTGGGATTCTCTCTCTCCCTATCTGTCCCTCCCTCCCTCCCTCCCTCCCTCCCTCTCTCTCTCTCCCCCACCTCAAAAAAATAAATATTTTAAAAATAAAATAAAGTTGGGTGCCTGGGTGGCTTAGTCGGTTAAGCGTCCGACTTTCGCTTAGGTCATGATCTCGTGGTTCGTGGGTTCGAGCCCTGCGTCGGGCTCTGTGCTGACTGCCAGCTCAGAGCCTGGAGCCTGTTTCAGTCTGTGACTCCCTCTCTCTCTGACCCTCCCCTGCTCATGCTGTCTCTCTCTCTCTCTCTCTCCTAGAAATAAATAAAACATTAAAAAAAATTAAAATTAAAAAATAAAATAAAGTAAATAAAAATACAGAGCCACATGAAAGGCGGTGATGGGTAGGCCCTTGTCACAGGGGCCACCAACACAGGTTAGGTCCTGTCCCCCCATCATGAAAGGAAGTGCAGGTGGCTGTCATTACTTGTTGGAGGCAGGTAAACACCTCTAACAATGATTGATCAGGAGGGAGTCCTGCCAGAAGTCACTGAAAACCCAAATCACAGCATGTTTTTAAAGAAACCGAGTCCTGTGACATCCTAGTACTTTCAGCTTCTAGAGCACGGTTTCTCGAGTTGGGTTTCTGTACTGATACAGAAAGCAATGGAATGTCAAGAACTCAGTTTCTGGACCAGAATCAGCTGGAAAGTTGTTCCCATGCAGAGGCCCTCCTGAATTACCGTCCTGGGCTAGTGCCTGGGAAGCTGCATTTTTACAAGATCTCTAGGTGGGTCTTACGGAGACGGAAGTGGAACACCACATCGTGGTTCTTAACCTGGGCTACATATTGGATTCACCTGGGGAAAAAAAAAAACTCTGGCCCTGGGAGTGTCCAGGCCCCACCCCCAAACCAATGAACTCGAGCCTCTTGGGGCTTGGAGAGCCTTTCAGGCTACCCAGGTGATTCCCATGTGCATGGAAGGGTCCTGGCTCTCCGAGGCGGGTGTGGTTTTCACTAGCATCATGGGGAGGGCTTGTTCATGCTGCCCTGAATTTGGGATTCAGGAGGACTGGGTAGGATTCAAGAAATTTGTATTCCTAACAAGTTCCCAGGTGCCGTTGCTGACGGAGAGTGCGGGGGGGGGGGGGGGGGCATACTTTGGGAATTACTGCTCAGGAATAAAGCCTTCAGCCCCCAGGAGACACAGTCTGCAGGTGGAGAAGCAAGGTGACTCGGGCTCTGTCCCTAACCCTCAGCTTCCGGTCCCTCAGCCCAGCTCAGCTGATGTGGGTGGGGGTCTGTGGAGAAGGGAGAGACCTGCTTTGTGCTGGAGAACAAGTTCCTGGAACTCACCTCCCAGTAGACTGAATCCTCAAAGCAGTTCTCATCAGCAGGTTGTCCCCAGAATGGCAATTTCAAAATGATCCCTAAAGAAAGTTGGGGGTCACAAGGGGTCAGGGACTACTTCCTCTCTGCCTACCCAGCCGTTTCCCACAGCTGGGAAGCTACCCCCACCCCCCAACCCAAGCCAGTCCCACAGCAACAGGGCACAGGATTTCTGGGCGCTCCGGGCTGACCGCTGGTACCCCCACCCGCAGCGGCCCCACCTTCTCTGGCCCAGACACTGCCACTCACCCACAATGATGCCGCCCACCAGGGCCATGGCCAGAGACACAAAGATACCAGCAGCCTGAAACTTGCCCTGCATGCTTGAGTCCCAGGCAGTCTTGAAACCATCAAAGTCAAAGGCATTAGCAAGCCTGGGGTGGAGACAGAGAGCAGGTCAGGGCTCCAGAGAGAGGCCAAGTAAGCACCTGCTGTCACCCCACGAATGCAAGTAGGCCCCAGGGCTCAGCACCCCCTGGCCTGAGCCTCCCCAGGTGCACTGGACAGATGAGATGGTCTCTAAGACCCCTGAGGAAGGACAGAGGTTGGGGAGAGAGGCCCACAGACAGTGGTTCAGGTTGGGGAAGGCTAGGGGTAGAGACGCAACATTGGACCCCAGAGGAAGAGCAGTTAGGAGGGAGCCCAGCCTGCCCTGCACCCCCTCCACACTCACCCTTTCACTCCGTACACACTAGCGTTGGCGCAGGACGCCGTCACAGCCCCCACAATGCCGCCTATGAGGCCGGGGAGGCCGTGCAGGTTGTGAATGCCACACGTGTCCTGGATCCGCAGCCGAGACTCCAGGAATGGCTGGAGAGGGGAGGCGGGTGTGGCAGGAGGGTGGGGAGGTCAGAATTCCGGAGGCCCCAGAGGCCCAGGATCCTCCAGCCCCCAGATCCCCTCCTGATCCCACCCCCAAGTTAGGATCAGAGACCCCGGGATTCCCCAGCCCTCAGCCCCCCGGCCGGGGGCCCTCACCGTCAGGTACACAAAGCCCAGGGTGGAGATAATGCCACAGATGAAGCCGACGATGAGGGAGCCGTATGGCATGAGCATCATTTCAGCCGCGGTGCCCACGGCCACCCCTCCCGCAAGCGTGGCGTTCTGGATGTGCACCTGGGTACGGAGGGCCGGAGCTCAGTCCTCCCCCAGAGCCTGCACGGCACGCTGTGGGCAGGGGCGGGCCGTCTGGCTCTGGGGGGCACAGGTGACTCACAGCGCGTCTCAGCCAGCCGGGAGCCTGCAGAGGACCCCGGGCCCAGCTCCTGCGCTCTCTGCACCAGCGGTCTGGCCACTGTGCACGGGCACACATCTTGTGTCTGTGCCGGTGAGACCTACTGACATGTCTGCACGCCCCCTGTGTATCTGTGCGCAGGCTGGCATGTCTGATGGTCTCTATGTGACACACACCGACGTCAGGCTTGTTCGTGGGCAAACACCCATGCCTACGGCGGCTCCAGGTCTACCTGCACCAGGCACTGCGCTGCCGGCTGCGGGGATAATTTCAATCCGTCTCTACAACAAGCCCAGGAGGTAAGAGCAGTTATCTTTTGATGTTTGTGCAAATGAGGGAGTTGAGGTGCAGAGAGGTGACGCGGCTTGTTAAAGACCACACAGCTAGCGAGAGGCAGAAAAGTATCTATCTCCATCTGGGTCTGTGTGGAGCCAGAGCTCCTGACCTTGACCCCATTCTTTGTCCTTGCCTGCGTGGGGGTATTGGGTGCACACAGGTGCGTGTCTGATTCTCTTCCCCCTGATGTGGGCATCCCTGCCTCTCTGTGTGGTCATTGTTCGGTGTACCCAGGGGTTCAGGGCAATGTCCCAGCACACACCTGCCTGTGTCAAGATTATGAGATAGAGAAGTGGTCTTCTTTTTATAGAAAAATCTACCAACATCTATGGCCTTTGGCCCCTCCCCACTGACAACAGAACAACCTGTCCTGGTGATGTGACAGGAAGGACACAGGGAAACATATTCCCCCCACCAACCTCCCAGGGGCGGAGACAAGGCATCAAAGGGGTTTCCTTTCTGAGTGTATGGGATGGGGCAGGCGGAGGTAGCTTTAAGAAGACTGAGGTGACTGGGTGGCTCAGATGGTTAAGCATCTGGCTCTTGAACTCGGCTCAGGTCATGATCTCACAGTTGATGAGTTCGAGCCCCACACTGGGCTCTGTGCTGACAGTGCAGAGCTTGCTTAGGATTCTGTCTCTCTCCCTCTCTCTCTATGCCCCTCCCGCACTTGTGCACTCGTGCACGGTTTCTCCCTCTCTCCATCTCAAACTTAAAAAAAAAAAAAAAAAAAAAGGCTGAGGGCCAGTATTTGGAAGATCAGAAGCCAGGGAGAGGGGAAGTGCCCCTGGCAACCCTACAGGGCAGGTCAGACGGGGTATTCAGCCCAGAACAGCGCTCAGCACCCCAGGCTGCGCGTAGTAAATGAGGAGGAGCTGCTCATCCAGAGCACCCAGTGTAATCAAGAATCTCTGAGGATCTGGTTCTGGGCTCTGCCGAAAACCAGCTATGTCATCTGAATAAATCATTCGCTCCCAAGCCTCAGTTTCTTCATCCGCAGGAGGAGTGTGATAATCCTGATGCTGCCTGCCTCAAGGAATTGTTGACAGGGCATGGAGATCAGTGTCCACTGGGTACCGGAGGTCAGAGTCCCCCCCCCCACCCCCCAGGGCTCCCCATGCTCCCCACCCCCCTTGCTCACCATGTCCAGCTTGCCCTTTTTGTGCAAGGCGCTGGACAGTGCCACCGAGGTGAGCACGCAGGCTGCCAAGGAGCAGTAGGTATTGATGGCAGCTCGGTGCTGGGCGTCTCCATGTTTGGACACAGCTGAGTTGAAGCTGGGCCAGTACATCCACAGGAAGAGGGTGCCTAGCCAGACCAGACAGGGCCGGTGGGCCCAGGAGAAGAGGTGTTAGATGGGCCCCGCAGAGCTTAGGCAGAACTAAGTTCCAGAGACAGAAGATGACTCACGTGCTCCAGCAGCCTCCCACCCCCCTGCTGGGGGCTCTTCCTAGAACATCCACCCTGTCTTCCTCACTTCCTGACCCTGCTCCAGGAAGTCTAGCCTGAGCCCATAACCGGGCTAAATACCTCCCACCTTGCTCCCACAGCACCATGCCGCAGGATCTTTCCCCCCACCGTAGGGACATTATTATTTGGTAACATTGCCATCGCTTCCACCGCACTGTGAGGAGCTCCTTGAAGGCGGAGCTAGGTTTTAGACCAGAGTGGGTGATTGATATATGTTCTCTGGAATGAACGGACACAGGGAGTAGGAATTCACACCTTGCCCTAACTCAGGGGATGGAGTCACCCGGTCCTGGTTACCACTTTGTCTGCCTTGGGGCATCCTAGGGAAAACAGGATGGGTGGCCAACTTCTTCCAGCTCCATGGGAAAAAGGGCCCATCATCTGGGATCCAGGAAGTGTCTACAGGCAACCCCCTCTGCCCTTTCCCCAAAGGGAACCGGCCACCACCCTCCAGACCGCGTAGAGATCAGGTATAATTGTGGGAGCCTGTACTCCCATATAATGGTTCTCAATCCTCATGGTTGTCCTCACCCATCATGGCGACCCTCAGTCATCATGATGGCCCTTATCCATCATGACCACCTTCACCCATCATGGTGGCCCTCAATCATGATAGCAGCTCTCACCAATCATGGCGAAGAGGTCCGAGTGGTACACAGAGCTCTGCCTCTCCTTGCTCTGATGTAGGCTGGGTCGGTAGAGGATCCAGGTCACCGTGAGCCCAAAGTAGGCACCAAATGTGTGGATGGTCATAGAGCCCCCTGCATCCTTCACCTGAAGTACAGGGCTCTGTGAGGCTCTGATACCGTCTCTCCCTCCCACCTGTTAGCACTCTCCTTCCCCACCAGACACACACACACACACACACACACACACACACACACACACGCACACGCACACGCACAGGTCCATCTGTCTCTGATTCCACATGCTGCAGGATGGGAGCCCAGGGTCCCCTACAGACCAATCAGTTCAGAAGGGGAGAAGGTGGGGATCTCTGAACCCAGGCAGTGAGCTTGTCAGCAAAATACTAGGGCATCCTCACCCAGCAGATGGGACTGCGCCCAGACTGGGAAACCCAGCCTTAGAGAGGACCTTGGTCGGTCACACAGTGGGAAGAGGTGAAGCAGACCTAGAGCCTAGGGCAACCCTCTGGTTTGTCACCTAGTTTGTCACTAGCTTCCACCTTATCTTAATTCCTGGGAGCCCTTCCCTTCCTCTGGGCCCCCCCTCTCCACATGTCTTTCTACACAGCCTGGTCCAGCACCTCCCCGTCTAGACTGCCATTCCTCGTTTCCCCAGCATCCTGCCCTACTTCTTACCCTATGACCTCCCAGCTGACCTTTTACCACTCACCCCATCCCCACCCTTATGTGTCCCGTCCCCCACAGTCGGAGCACATAGATAGGTTTCTTCCTCTTCTATCACTTTCTGCCCTCCCCCATTCTGTGCCTCTGGATTTCATTCACAAAGTGGGGGAGATGGCGGTGACTTAGCGGGGCTGTCTCGAGAGTTAAATCAGACAGCTTGTGTAAAGCACTTGGCGAGCGCCTGGCACCCAACAGGCGCTTGGTGGACTTAGCCTTCCTCCACGTGCCCCCACCTCCTCTCTCTCCAGCCTCCTCTTCCTCCCCACTCGGAACCAATCTCGGGGGAAATTCCAATCCGAATCACGGACTTGCTCCTCCACTTTAGATGGGGAAATCCAACCAGAGAGGTAAGTGTATGGTCCAAGGTCACAGAGCTTAGCTATGGGGTTGCTGACAGGGCTGGATTTCGTAGTTTCCAGCCTGGTGGGGGCCTCTCCTAGCTGCGAGCCCTGGGATGAGCCCCCTTGACTTCTCTGAGTCTCAGCTTTCTCGTCTGTAAAGTGGGGGTAATAATTGTGCCTTTCTCAGGGACGAGGATTAAGTGAGATACGCCGTGTGTGAAGTATTCAGAGCAAGTCTCAGCCAAGGGCAAGTACTCCTTATGTGTCAGCAGTGACTGTTGAACTTTAACTCTCACAGACACAGGCCTAAAGAGTGTCAGGCATTAAAAGAATTTCTATAGCGGGAGCCTGGATGGCTCAGGCTGTTAAGTGTCTGACTCTTGATTTCAGCCCCAGGTCGGGCTCTGTGTTGATAGCAAGAAGCCTACCTGGGATTCTCTCTCTTCCTCTCTCTCTGCCCCTCCCCAACTTGCGCCGGCACATGCGCGCTCTCTCTCTCTCTCTCTCTCAAGAAAAAAATAAAATTCTGTAGCAGGCTGGGAGGATTTTTGAGGGCCTCTTAAACTCATGCCCAAGATACTGCATTCTCAGCCTGTTTCAGATCATGCCCTTTGGCCCCACTGCGCACCCCTCACCTAGCCTCGCTTCTTTCTTTCTCACACCTCCCACCCCACCTTGTCCCTGAGGCCTGTGGACTCACCTCCTTTCTATCTGTTGAGTCACTTTCTTCTCCTTGTACTTCCCCAGCCAGGCCCATTATCTGTCACCAGGATGACTCGGACAGCCTCTTAGCAGGGCTCCCTGCTCCCCGCCATTCTCACCGTAGCCAAAGTGGTGTTGCCATTACATGTCTGACTGTGCCACTCCCCCCATCCAAAACTCTCCATAGCTCCCCACTGCCATGTCAGAGTCTTTAACACCATCTCCAGGAGCCTTGATGATCCCTCTCCCGCCCCCCTTCCTCCACACCACTACCCCCTCCAAGCCCTCCCCTGGGTGGAGTCCTCTCACTGCGGGCCTCCCTCAAGGCCTTCCCACTGTTTTCTCAGCCTCACCCCTGTGCCTGGTTATTTTCTACTTGACTTCTAGCTTTGGCATCTCTTCCTCCAGGAAGCCTCCCTGACCTGCCGTGCTGGCTCAGGCACCCTCCTTCAGGCCACCAAGCCCTAGACCTCATGCGTCATCATACTGCATGGTGACCGTCTGTGTACCTCCCGGCTTCCTCACTAGATTGTGAGCTCCTCGGGGTCTGAGTGAGAATGCCTGGAGCCTTGCAGTCAGACTCCAAAATTCATTGACTTGGTAAATATTGTTGAGCACTTGTTGTTATTGTTGCTGTTGAGCACATAATGGGCATTGGACTAGGTGCTGGGGACACAGATGGTCCAGACAGATAAGGTTTATCAGAGAAGGAGAAACGTTATGAAGAAAATAAACCAAGTCCATGTGAGAGATGGTGACTAGGGGTGGGACGGGGAAGTAGGACAGAGGGCAGCACTGTGTAGGCCGGAGTATCTGGGAGGACCTCTCTGAAGAGGTGATATTCCAGCTGAGATCTCAGTAATGAAAGCGACTGAGGGACGAGCATTCCAGGTAAAGGGAATAGCACGGGCAAAGGCCCTGAGGTGGGGCTAAGCTTGGTGTGTTGAGGGACAGACAGGAGAGTGTGGCCAAATCTCCGAAAGAGGGGGAGAGTGGATTATAAGCTTGGAGAGAAAGGCTGGGGCAGAACTTGTAGGGTGTTATAACAAACTTGGATTTTATTTGAAGTGAAATTTCGGAAACCACTGGAGGGTTTTAATCAGGGCGTGGTCTTATATGCATTACTAACAGGTCTCCATGGCCGCTGGTGGACATTGGCCTGAGGTGGTGAGTGGGGCAAGGATGAAGATAAGGAGATGAGTTAGGAGGAAGAGATATGGTGGCTGAAAAAAATAACAAAATGAATGACTGAATGTAGTGTAAACTAAAAAAACAAAAAACAAAAATAAAACTCTACCCCTTGTCGGAGGTGAGGGTATTCAAGGCAGAGTCCAAATGTAGAGGACTTGGGGTGAAGAAATGGGTGAAGTCTCTGAATGACCTTCACCCCTGCAAAGGTACCAAAGAAGTATCTGAGCTAGAGTCAGAGGTCTAAGTTGCCCTTACTTGGGTCATTGAATTGGCCAACTTTAAGGGGCATCATTCCTGCCATAATTGATGTGAATGTCCCTCCTAGAGTTTTGCAGTGCACAGCCTATGCAGCCGTACATGTTCACCTTGGCCATTCCCCAAGGATCCTTCCTTACAGATGTGCCCCCTCAATACACTGGGTCCTTTTCTTGGGAGACCAATCTGGGAATGTGGTGTGTATGTAAGAGTATGTTCAGGGGGGTGCCTGGGTGGCTCGGCTGGTTAAGTGTCTGACTCTTCATTTTGGCTCAGGTCATGATCTCACAGTTTGTGGGACTGAGCCCCATATCAGGCTCTGCAATGTTAGCTCATGCTGCTCGCTCTCCCTCTCAAATAAATAAGCATTAAAAAAGAAAGAGACTATGTTCAGGAACACCCACTCTTTCCACCCAATAAGCAGGAAAGAGAAAGAAGAGCGACAACGGATATGAGCAACTCCGGCTCTGCCCAGGTGCTGGACTAGTCTGCTAGGTGGACCACCATCTCTGCCCAATAAATATCATGACTCTCGCTTTAGCGATTAGGAATCTGACGTTCAGAAGGTTAAGTGACTTGACAAGATTGAACCAAATCCAGCTGGCATGTCTTCCCAGCTCTCCCTTTCTCTATTTCCCTGCTGTCACCCCCAAGTGTCCCTCCCATCACCACCCCCGTTCTGGTCCCTGCTCACCTTTAGCAGGCTGAGAAGAATAAACTCATTCACTGAAAAGAGGGTCACTTGGAAGAGAGTCATGATGAGTAGCTGGACAGGGCTGACTTTGCCCAGAACTGCCCCAAAGGCCACACAGACAGAGCCCACGCAGAAGTCCGCATTGATGAGGCTGTGGGGAGACAGGTCAGGGGAGACGGGGCTGAGGCAGCAGCAAAAAGTGGGCACTCCAAGCCCTGGGTTTGACTCTGGACTTTGATCATCTATGGATTTGGACTTGTGGCTTAACCTTGCTGAGCCTCCGTTTCACGATGTGGTAATGGCATATAACATCCTAAAGGTACTCTAAGAATGAAAAGAGATAACAGGTGAAGGGTCCGGCCCAGCAAAGGCACATACCGGATGTCTTACCCTTCCTTTGTGGCCCCCATCTGAGCACGCCCTCCTCACAGGCAGCTTTGTGGTCAAGGCACCCAAGTCATCTGGCTGCTGTTGTTCAACATGCTGCATATTTGGAGCCTTGGCCTGCCCTCCAGCCTCCACCTGCCTTTCTAGAACCTCCTCTGGCTGCCTCTTCTTTCAGGAAGTCTTCCTTGATTCCTCCACCCACATGTGATCTCTGCCTCCAGGCTCTTAGATCTCACTCTATACACACCTCTTCTGTTGGTTACCAGGGCTCTGCTTGGGTTTGAGCCCTCATGTCCTTACCTGAGAGAGAGGACCTATGTCCAGGGAAGAGAGAGAGGGCTTCTTGCAGGAGGTAGGGAGCTGGGGGATGCATGGAGGGGGCAGGAAGGCCAACAGAGAGAACAGAGGCAGAGGAGCACCTAGGTCCTCCTTAAGGCTGGACCCTGAAAGCCTGGCCAGCCAGCAGAAGGCTCACGGAGAGGCAGACAGCCAGGTGGAGGCCATGCATCCAAAGGAGACGCCGGCTCTGTCCACGTGCCTCCTAACCCAGGCTTTCCCGTGCTCGGCCAGCAGCAAAGCTGTCCTGCATTTTGACGCAGTCAGGAGAGTTGTTAATAGGGATGGGTGTAGGGACAGTAGAGAGTCCCACAAACCATTCACAGCCAGAGGATGTGCGCCTGCCCCATGCTCAGGTGTGTGTGTGTGTGTGAATCGAGAAGTGAGAAGCCAGCTGACTGTAGGGCCAATTCTGTCAGGTCCCTCCCAAGACAGAGGATGCTCACTGGAAATGTCTGCTTCACTATGAGCCTTGTTCACGGCTGTGTCCCCTGGGCCTCACACAGACCCTGGCTGAATGCATCATGGCAGTTACTAAGTGCCAGGCACAGAAATACCTGCCTGGTACTGCATACGGCCTCCTGGGCCACACAGGCCCTGTTACTGGTCACACCATGTGGAGGAACACGGAGGCTTAGAGAGGCAGAGTTATTTGCTCATGTTCCCAGAACTGTAGCCAGAAGACCCAGGACAGAGGTGACTACTCAGGAATGCGTGGCCCACGTTGGGCCTCAGCTGCCGGCAGAGGGGGGTTCGGATGTCACATCATAGGAGGGCCCTCGGAGTGTTGGGCAGAGCCTGTAGACGAGCCATGACCCTAGGTGGCAGGTGGGACCTGGAGGGCTCTTCAGTAGGGACGGGAGCCAGCAGGAGGGCCTGGGGACAACATGATCATCCTGTCCTGAGCACCAAAATCGGCTCCAGCTCAGTTGCTGAAAATCAATTCCCTGAAAGCCAATTTGCCGAAACTCAATTTGTCAAGTGAACCGACTCGTCCAATAACCGGCTCGGCAAAAGCTTGCCAACGCACAAAGTTAATAATAATTCTCTTTGGAGATTTTTAAGCAGTTGTATACTTTTGTTTTTCATTCAGCCATAGGTCTGGTGCTGTGGTGGCCAGTGAAATATATTACGGGTGTTTTCATACTTTGGATCTACGGCTTTGGGAGGGAGACGTTCTTGTCAAAGATTTTATGCAAAAGACTGATTTGTCGGCTCCAAAACATTTTCTATCTAGTCAACTATGTTTCCAGTGTCTCTAAAGTCATGGATTCATTAACTGGCTTGAGTGAATTAATATCTTGCAAGTATTTGGCATTATGTTTTAAATTTCAGACAGCTAGCCTATGATCCCCGGTTGGTGCCCTATATGAGACAGCAGGGGGCTTGCACGCTAAACATGGTTTTATGGCAATTTGCCTCTAAACCCTTTCTGTGGATTTGGTCTTCCAGCGGGCGAAGGACCGTTCGTTTGCACACCCGCCCCCTTGCCCTGTGGGCCCCGCCCCCGAGTCAGCCCGTCACCTCCGGGCCCCGCCCCCTCACCCTGAGGGCCCCGCCCCCTCGCCTTGCGGGTCCCGCCCCTGGGTCAGCCTCTCACCTCCGGGCCCCGCCCCCGGATCCGCCCCCTCCCCCGTGTGCCCCGCCCCCTAACCCACCGCTCTCCCTCCCGCGCCCTCTACCTGCGGGCCCCGCCCCACGCCCCGCCCCCGCCCCGGTCGGCCCCGCGCTCACTTCTCCACGCCCACGTGAATGTAGCCTTCGGAGTAAGAGTGGAACCACCCCTGCATGAGCAGCGCCCACTGGATGCCGAAGGCCGCCAGCAGGAAATTGAAGCCCACCGAGCTGAAACCGTAGCGCTGCAGGAAGGTCATGAGGAAGCCGAAGCCCACGAAGATCATCACGTGCACGTCCTGGAAGCCTACGGGGAGAAGCAGCCGTGGGGGGCGGGGGGTCGAGGCTCGGTCGTTTAGCCCGCCCTAGTCCGGGGTCTGGGCCAGCGCGGCCCAGCGCAGAGCCTATGTCTTTCCGGCCACTGGCCGCCCGGTAGCCTCCGGAGCCCCATTCTCCCATCTCTGCATCTGGATCCCGGGGGTAGGCCCAGTAATGAATGGCTTTCCGGGCATAGAACAGCCACTACCCCCAGCTTGTCCTAAGAACCTCTGGGTGGGGCTGGGCGGGGGCGGGGGTGGGGGGGCGACCGAGGTGAGCCTCCCACTTTAGATCACTCGTTCTAGTGTCAGGGAATGCCTGGGTGTCCCCCTCAGGAGATGGCAGCTTCCTTTCTCCATCCACACCCTGGATGGAGGTGGGCAGCTGGGCATTTGAAATCAGGGCCAGGCTGTGGATTACACGTCGAATGTAGGGCCTAGAACCCAGACTTTCTGCGGCTCCGCCCCGTCAGCTCCATCCTTTTAGTACAGAGAAGTTAGTATCATCCTGACTGACCAAGCACATGAGTTGATCACTCCCGTGAAGGTCACATCCCATCTCTACCTCCAGCAAGGATCCTTTCCTGCATCACTGAGACCCGAATTTGGACCCCAGTTCCTCTATCTGCGAGGCAGATGACACTGGAAAGTCAGGTAACCTACTTGGGTCTCAGAGCCCTCAGGAATGCTTACTCACAAATGCTGCAGAGATTCAATGCAGATGTGTATGCGAAGCACCTAACAGTGTCCGTCCCATAATAGGTGCTCAAAATGGACAAGTCGTTATTGTTGCTTTATTATTACTTAGGTATAGGCTAATGAGTTTACCAGCTCATGGTGCGGTCTTGACAAGCCATTTCCCTTCAGCCTCAGTTTTCTCCGTAAAACCAAAAGATCGGTTAGAATGATCTTAACTGCCCTTCCAGTGCTAACATTGCCTGGTTCTAGATTCTCAGAAAAGGATAGAAGGGAAGCAAAGATAGCTACAAAAATATAAGACGCTAAAAGGAACTACAGATGTCACAGGACACACAAGGAGCCAGATTAAAGGGTGCCTAGTGGCCAAATCAGGGGCAATTTGAGCACCAAAATAATTAGGTACTGTACTGACTTAAAACCATTACAAAACAGGAACTCAGAGTAGGAAGTAAATGAAATCGTGAGGAGGGCTCTTGCTTGTAACAGAATGCGGAGGGCCAGACTGCTAAATGTAGAGTGAATGCCGAAGTTGGAAAATCATGATTTTCACAGTAGAGATTCCATCAGTGGATGTTAAATCCAGGGAGAAATTTGGGGGAAGAACAGAACATTTGCATTGTCTTCAAGGGTCTCCCTATAGATTGCTTATGAGTTGCAAGGTACAGAGAGAGAAAAAAAAAACAACAACCCAGTAATTATGAAGTGGAGAAACAGGGCAATATCTTGACTGAGTGATGAAAATTAACATCACCAATGAGGGACAGATGGATAGCACACGCCTTCAGATGTGCTACCCTGAAGGAGACACATCCGGGTATCATATTCCAGCCTGGAAGGCATAATCCCATTCTACTTGTGAGGAAGCATCAGACAAACAGAAAATGAGTAACATGCTGTTAGAAACGGGGTGAGGCTGTAGTCCTGAGCAATGTCAACGTCATAAAAGAAAGAAAGACCGCAGAAATGTGCCAGGTTAAAAGAGTATAAAGAGAAACAACTCCAACTGCGTTCAATACCTAACTCAGGACTGGATCCTGGATTTGCCCCGGGAGGGGAGGGGAGAGGGGAGGGGAACTATAGAGGTTGTTATTGAGCAAGTTAGAGACTGGCGCCTGGGTGGCTTAGTCGGTTAGGCGTCCGACTTTCGCTTAGGTCATGATCTCACGGTTCGTGGGTTCGAGCCCCTCGTCGGGCTCTGTGCTGACTGCCAGCACAGAGCCTGGAGCCTATTTCAGAGTCTGTATCTCCCTCTCTCTCTGACCCTCCCCTGCTCATGCTGTCTCTCTCTCTCTCTCCTAGAAATAAATAAAAATATTTAAAAAAAGAAAAGAAAATTAGATTGATAAAATTCGATAGAAACCATCTATTAAGGTATTGCACGATGTAAATTCATGAAATTGATTACTGTGGTTGCGGAGAATACCTCCATTCTCAGGAAACATCCGGAATCTTTAAGGTGACAGTGTCAGGGCGTGTATGACTGGCCCTCAAAGGGTTCGGGGAAGAAGAGTATGTGTTTGCATCTCTGTGCAGAGAGCAGGACAGAAGGAGCAGAGAGCAGAATCGGGAGTTAAAAGTATACAGTGTTCTTTGCGCTATTTTTGTTTTAGCAACTTTTTATAAATTTGAAATTATTCCCAAGTACACAGTTAGAAAAGGGGGGTGGACTGCAGGGTCCACCGGCCTTCCCCCTTCCTCATTCCTCGCCCTCCCCTCCCCCCCACCCCCTGCGCCACGCTCCACACCGCTGCCTCCTGTGTTCCTCAGTCCTACTCAGGAGTCTCTGCCTGTGTCCTTCCCTCTGCCTGCGATGCTGTTCCCGCAGAAGGGCCAGCGTCTCTTAATGCAGATCTCAACGAAGTGTCGCCTCATCACGGAGGCTTTCTGGACCACCCGGTTCAGCGTGGGTTCTCTCCCTCACGGCACCTTCTTCTTGCTTTTCTGGTTCTTATTACAGTTTGCAGAACGGTGTGTTTGTCTGGCCCACTAGACCCTAAACCCCCCAGGAGGCTTGGTTCACCCCACTGTTCCCCGGTGCCTGGGGAGCCTCCCAGGACGTATCTGTGAATGAATGAGAATTGCTGTCGTCATCCCAGCAGCACCCAGCCAGCTAAGCCACCAACAAGGAGCCCCAGTCAGAGTAGGAGTTCACGGTCAGATGAGGCTGTGGCCCCTCTCCAGTGCGACACCTCCTACCCACGGGGCAGATAGCCTGGAGGAGGAGGGGCCAGTGGTGTTTGTGCTAAGAGCTGCCCTAGCCTTGCCTGCCCCCAGCTGCCCCATCTGCCCCCCCCCCCCCCCCGCATGGCGCCCTGGACTCCCGTCTGGAGACCTGTGCGAATGTGCGCGAACACACAGCAGCTGGGTGTCAGTTTCACGATGGGTGCAGCTAACTGCGTGTATTATCGCGTTTCATGGTTTATCACGTTTCCAACTGTTGTGGGGGAATTTGAGCTGATGCGTGTGAAACGCCGTACGTGGCATTCTGGTTATTCTTGGGGAGAACGGATGGGTGGCAGACTGGAGGAGAGGTGTGAGAGAGGGAGGTGACACTTGCAGACCTCGGTTCCCGCAGCAGCGGGGGAGGGGAGCTGCCAGGGCGGCGGGGCTGCTGCTGAAAGACACAGGGGATTGGAGGCGGTTGTGGAGAGGCGGGAGGGGCTGGGGCCGGTGTCCTTGGAGTTCCAGACGACCATGGGGTTGAGGGCTGGGGGACGCGGAGATCCTGACGTCTGCAGCGCAGGTGGGAGGAGGGGAGCCTGGCTGTGGGGGGCGGGCCGGGGATCTGAGAGCCGGCGGCCCGCAGATGGAGATGTGAGTCAGAATGTGGGTGTAAGGAGGGGTAGACAGAAGCTGCAAACTGGCCTGCTTGGGAGGACAGGGAAGGCGCTGGCGGGGGTGGTGGAGGAATCCCTGGGCAGAGGCAGCATCACAGAGGGTAGGGGCCTTTTCAGAAGAGGCAGTTTGGTGGCATAAAGGAACCCTGTGGGCAGGGGGTGGGGTAAGGGGGGGCCCCTCCCCGGGGGAAATCTGCAATTTCAGGGCTCCCTTCTCGGTGCATCACCCCTGCCTGCCTCCTCTCACCAGTTCTCTGTCCTCTGTGACCCCTCGGGGGTCCCAGCCTCTCTCTCTGACCCTCTCTGGGGGTGTCTCTTTCTTCTCCCCCCACCTCAGGTACACAGACGCCACCTTCTCCCCTTGGGCCCCTCCCTATTCATTCTCTTGCTCCCTTCCTCTTTATCTCCCACACGGGTCCTAATTTAGATTCCAGACATAACAGTTGAATGATTTACGTTTCATAAAGTTTAGTGCTAGTTCCTAAAACGCTTTTCCTAGTAATGGTTTGAAAGGCCCAATCGTGTGACCTTCGGGAAGGACATAATCTCTCTGATCTGCAGTTTGTTTTTCTGTAAAATGGGGGGTGGGGGAGGCGGGGAAAGGGTTGTACAGGTGCTCAGGTGGTGCTCACCCCAGAGGTTTATGGTGCACATTTAATGGCTTCATCCAACCTGGGCGCAGGCCTGGCTCCTTACTAATCGGTGGTATCAGCTACAATTTCTCTTTTTCTCATTCAAGGCTGTCCAGGTGTTTTGCACTGAGTGGGCAACTTGCTGAGGGACAGTGGAAGTGGGAGAGACACCTCCCCTCCCCCCCACCCCCTTTCCCCAGCATAGAGTGACGCAAGCAGTCTGTTCTCTGAACGAGGAGACCCCGCTGGCGTGCCAGCCACAAGAGCTGCCACGAGGGGGCAGCAGTACACAGCCAGCCTTGCTCTCCCCGTCTCCACCCCCTCCCTAGCTCACTCTCCTCACCCCCAGCAAGGGCCCCCCGGTGAAGCTGGCCCAGTCCCTGAAATCTCTGCAATCTGAGGGCAGAGTTTCCCGTGCCTCTGGGCCACAGCAGCTTCCTCCGCTCCACTGCACCAGCACAGAGAGGGTGGTGCCCTGCCTGGCGCAGCCTGGGGCCGCCCTTTTCCCACTCTCTGTGGCCAGTCTGGCCCAGAATTTTCTTTGAGACCTCCTGGCCAGTCCCTCTCTTCCCCGAGGCTCCGTGCCCACCTCTCCCACGCCTCACAGCGCCCCCATCACCGCACAGAAGCAATGGCGCAGAGGCCTGGGAAAGCAGGTGGCCGCAGGGCAGGGAGGGCTCAGCTGGTCCCTGCCTGGGCCACGGCCGAGAGTGTGAAGCACAGAGGAGTGTAAATGCTGCAACAGTTGAAACTCCTATTCAGAGAGACATTCCTTGGCTGTATCTCTGAAGAGAGGCTGAGCCTCCACTCCCATAGCTTCAGTGATGGAGCGCTCACTCCCCTCTGGGGACGCTTGATACCAGCTTCTACTGTCCCCTCACTTCATGCTACGGGATGTGCCCTACGAGTCACTTGCCTACAGTCTTCGGTTTTCCTGGAGACCCAGTGCATTCACTAACATTCCCACAGTGGCCTCCTCTGCCCTGATCACCTCCCGGAAATGTGTCCGCTCCTCCCTCAGTCTTTCCAGGAAGCTTCGGGAGCCTGGGCTCTGATGGCACCTCCCCCAGGCTCTGCCACTGGCCTCCCCTCCAAGGCCCCAGAGCACCAGGCCAGGAGGGAGTTTTGTGTTCAGCAGCCGGAGCCCGTGGCACAGGCTTCGGAGGTCCCTGCTAGGGCAGGTCTCCGGCGACTCTGGGCCTGCTGCCTGCCGAGGGGCCCAGGTGTGGGGAGCAGCCCTCAGGCCCTCCTGAGCCCCAGCGTGAACCAGCTGGAGCTGGATTCCGCTAGAAACCCGAGATACCCAGCGGCCTCCGCTAATCCCCTGGGCAGGAGTGAGGCCCACAGATATTAGGTGGATAAGCTTGGAGCCAACAACCCAGAAGGTACCACAAGGTGTACCTTCATCCTCTGCCCCTGGGAACGGCCACACTGGGGCCCCACCTGCACCACAGGCCATGTGCGCTCTAACTCCTAACCACAGCCATGACCCAGTGGACCTGAGAAGGGCTGGGCAGGGGGGAAGGGGAAAGGCGAGCCTGGAGGAAGGGGAGGGTCAAGGGGCATGCACCTGGATGTCCAGGGCACCTTCCCTGGCTCTCTGGTTTCCTAGTCACCCCCTCTCTGGCCTTAGTCTCCTTGTCTGTAAAATGGGAGTCCCAACAGCGCCTTCCTGGTGGGGGGGGGTGTTAAAGGAGAGAACGTGCACCTGGTGGCTTGAGTCGTTGCTGCTGGAGTCCGGAGGCCGACAGTCTCTCCCTCTACTCTCTTCTCCATCACTTCCTGCCTGGTAACCAAGGGGAACCAGCCAGAGACACTCAGGTCATCCTTGATGGCTGGGGCGTCTCATCCTCCTTAGCTGCTTCCCTCCCACGCTTTCACTAACACCACCGCCGGGCCACTCTGCACCCCCCATCTGCTCCTGGCGTACCTGTCCTGCCTCACCCCTCCTGCCCACCCCACCGCCTTCCAGGAAGCTGTCTCCTATCTCTTCTGCCCAGAGAACCTGACATCACTGAGGTCAGGGCACTGGGGTGCTCTCAGTCTGGAAGCCCTTTGGGATCAGAGAGCAAGGCTATGCACCTTCTTCATCCACAACGGCCGTGAGACTGGGTCTGTTGAGACAGTCGTGGTTTACGTCTGTGGCCTCTGGTGAATTACTATGAGCACAACCCCTCCAGCCCCTCACTCTCAAAAGTGTCTCTGGTTGATAAATTATATGGCCGCTCTGTGGACAAATGGCTGTTGGGTGAATTGACGAGAGTGGAGCGTGGCAGGTGGGTGTGGACAGAGTGGGGGTAGGCGCTGGGGAGATGTGAGGGCCGCACCCCTCTTTGGGGGAGGTTTTGTAGCTCCTGTTTTAGGGCTTTGAGACCTTCCACTGCCTGGACCCCTCAAGGACGTATGAATGCCCACGGGAGAACTTGCCCTCTTGGCTTCGCTGAGGGCTGATTATGGCCGAGAGGTAAGCAAGAGCCAGAGTGAAGGAGTAGAGCAGGCAAAGGAGGATCTCAAGCTGGCCCTGCCTCTCCGTTTGCCAGATCCATCCAAGGAGAGAAAAGGTGGGCAGTGAAAGGTGGGTTTGTTGGAGTCTTAATTCTGAGGCCACAATTGTCATGGCCTCTTTTTAAAAGAAATTTTTTAAAAATGTTTTATTTATTTCTGAAAGAGAGAGACAGCGTGAGCAGGGGAGGGTCACAGAGAGAGGGAGACACAGAATCCGAAGCAGGCTCCAGGCTCTGAGCTAGCTGTCAGGACAGAGCCCGACATGGGGCTCGAACCCACGAACTGTGAGATCATGACCTGAGCCGAAGTCGGACGCTCAACTAACTGAGCCACCCAGGCGCCCCCTGTCATGGTCTCTCTTTTTTTTTTTTTTTAAATGTTTTTTTTATTTATTTCTGAGAGACAGCATGAGCAGAGGAGGGTCAGAGAGAGAAGAAGACACAGAATCAGAAACAGGCTCCAGGCTCTGAGCTAGCTGTCAGCACAGAGCCTGATATGGGGCTCAAACCCACGAACTGTGAGATCATGACCTGAGCCAAAGTCGGACACCCAACCAACCGAGCCACCCAGGCGCCCCTGTCATGGTCTCTTAAAATACAACTCTGAGTGGAGCCCAGTAGAGGCTGTGGTTTCAACCAGCACAGGGCACACTCCTCTTCCATAACCTCCTTTCTTTGAGGCTTTGTATTTCTATTAATGTGACCTGTGATTGCATTCGCTTTTTGGCAGCCATTTAATATGGCCGGCACTCACTGAGTTGGTAAACCCCCCCCCCCCAATTCTTATCTTTTTTCATGCAGGCTGTCATATCCAGAATGTGTGCAGTTACTTGTTTGGATCTAAGTGAAATGTTATTTCTGGAGGTAAAGGCTCCCATTGCTGAGGGTATTCAAGCCATGGAGGGAACCCCAGTTGACCTAGGTGGGTGTTGCATATGAGCTTTATAGTCCTTGCAGAAACGAACAGTCCGTGACTCTGTGAGCACCAACAGCTGGAATGATTGCCATTGGCTGCTGGTAGATGGCGTAGAAGATCAGAAAACACAAGGGCATGGAAGGAGCCCTGGGCCCAGAGTCTGGAGGTTGGGCTGACCTGAGTGACCTTGGACCAGTTCTTCCAACTGCTGAGTCCTAGGGCATCTGTGTTTTGTGCTCCTCTGCAATTGCTTCATTAGGAAGTGAGGGTTCCATGCCCAGCACTGTGCCCGACCTTTCTGTGCACTGCATCACCCCGGCCTCACCCCAGCCCTGTAAGGTAGGTGCCATTATTATCCCCCGCTTGACAGATGCGGCAATGGGGTTTCAGCGGACTTGCCATTTGCCTAAGGATATCCACCTGGTTAATGGCAGAACCGTGATGGGAATGAGGACTGGTGATTCCAAGGGTATGCTCTTTTTTTTTTTTTTAACATTTATTTATTATTAAGAAACGGAATTAAGAAACAGAGAGAGGCAGAGCATGAGTGGGGGAGGGGCAGAGAGAAGGGGAGACATAGAATCCGAAGCAGGCTCCAGGCTCTGAGCTGTCAGCACAGAGCCCACACGGGGCTCGAACCCACAAACTGCGAGATCATAACCAGAGCTGAAGTCAGATGCTTAACCAACTGAGCTGCCCAGGTGCCCCAAGGGCATGCTCTTCACCAGGGCACCACGGATACAAGGGAGCCAGGGCCCTCCCCCTGCCCACGTTGGTGACTGAGATGGGGCTAGGGTCTTTTATTTTTTTATTATTTTTTTAAAGTTTTATTTATTTCTGAGAGAGAGAGGCAGCGTGAGCAGGGCAGGGTCAGAGAGAGAGGGAGATACAGAATCTGAAACAGGCTCCAGGCTCTAAGGGGTCAGCACAGAGCCCAACGTGGGGCTCGAACCCACGAACCGAACCGTGAGATCCTGACCTGAACCGAAGTCGGCCGCTTAACCGACTGAGCCACCCAGGCGCCCCCAAGGGGCTAGGGTCTTTTGAGGTCAAGTAATGCTCTCTGATGGGGAGGCTGGGGGCCTCTGACGGCACCTGGAGTGAGCTCGCTCACCCCGGCGAGTTTTCCCCAGTGCCTCAGCGCGGGGAAGAGTTGGTGCCCACGTGACCACGGGTCAAGCGTGCCCTCCCGATTCTAGCGGGGAGGCTGCGTGGGGAGCGCCCGCGGGCTGTGGGCTTCTCCCCAGCCCCCGCCCCCGCCCCGTTCCCGAGCAGCAGGCTGCGCAGGTGGCGAGGCAGGGCTCCCCGCCGCGTGGGGACCCGCCCGCCGCCTCCGCGGGCCCGCGCGGCGGCCGGACTTACTTGGGTAGCGGTAGTAGAATTCGTTCTCCACGTCGCTCGTGGCGTTCGCACCGCCCCGGGAGTCGATCCAGTGGGCGTCGGCATCGAGGTCATAGCGCACGAACACGCCAAAGAGGACCACCAGGGCCACCTGCAGGAGCAGGCAGGTGACCGGCAGCCGCCAGCGCAGGTTCGTGTTCCAGATCATGCTGCAGGGGGCGCCTGGCCGGGACGGCAGCGGGCGGATCGCGAGCCGCGCGGCGGCGCGGGAGGCTTATAAGACCGGGGCAGGGGCGGGGCGGCCGCGTCGGGCGGCGACACGGCGGACCCGGGTGCCGCCCGCGGGCTCGCCCAACCCGCGAGGGGACCCGCGGGCTCCGGGGTCCCCGCAGCTCGCCTCGTCCGGACGGGGGCGCGGCGGCGGGGGATGGGGGGGGTCCGGGAGCACCCGCAGCTCCCCGCGTCGGGACGGGGGCGCGGCGGCGGCGGGGGGGGGCGGCGGGGGTCGGTGGGGGGGGTCCGGGAGCCCCCGCAGCTCCCCGCGTCGGGACGGGGGCGTGGCGGCGGGGGGGGGCGGGGGTCCAGGAGCCCCTCCCATCGGTACTGGGCCCCGTGCCTTTCCCCTTTTGGTCGGGGGACCAGAGACAGAAAAAGCCGGATTATCTGCGCCCCCCTCCCCGAGGAGACACAGAGGAATTCCTAGATAGCCGCCATCCCTTTCTTTTTCTGGTCACAGAAGTCATATAGGGAACATGAAAAACCAGGAAAGTCTAAGAACTGTCACACACGCAGAAGCCTGGAGAGGCGGGACGGCTGAGTGCTGCGTGTGTCTTACCACGGAAGGGATCCTGGAACAGAAAGAGAATGTTACCGGGGGGAAAAAGGTGAAATCCCCATGGAGTCTGAAGTTTAGTTGACGGCATTGTGCCCATGTGGGTTTCATGGTTGTGACAAATGTACTCCAGGTAGGTAAGACCTCAGCAGGGGAAACTGGGTGCCTGGTATAGGAGAACTCTGTACTATCTTTGCAACTTTTCTGTAAATCTAAAATTATTCCTGAAAAAAAGGGGGGATGGGGCACGTGGGTGGCTCTGTCGGTTAAACATCTGACTTTGGCTCAGGTCATGATCCTTAGTTTAAGCCCCACATCAGGCTCTGTGCTGACAGCTCAGAGCCTGGAGCCTGCTTTGGATTCCGTGTCTCCCTCTCTCTCTGCTCCTCCCCACTCACACTCTGCGCCTCTCTCTCAAAAATAAACTTAAAAGTGTTTTTAATAATAGAAAGGAAAAAAGGGTATTAGGAAAAAATATATAAAAAATGGTCCAAACAGTTAAGTTTTTCACAAGTTCATTAAGCTCGGTTGGGAATGATCTGTTGGTCAATAGGTGTGATCTTGACACGGGTAAACCATAGAATTTAAGTCAAACCTATACTTTTCCTATATTTTGTCAAATGTGATTTTCTAATTTTTTAAAAATGTTTTTTATTTATTTCTAAGAGAGAGACACAGTGTGAGCAGGGGAGGGTCAGAGAGAGAGGGAGTCACAGACTGAAACAGGCTCCAGGCTCTGAGCTGGCAGTCAGCACAGAGCCCGACGCGGGGCCTGAACCCACGAACTGTGAGATCATGACCTGAGCCGAAGTCGGACGCTTGACCGACTGAGCCACCCAGGCGCCCCTCTAATTTTTCTTTAAAAAGGTAACACATGTAGACTATAGAGATTTTAGAAAATACAGAAAGCATATGAGGTGCCTGGGTGGCTGAATCGGTTAAGCGTCCGACTTCAGCTCAGGTCACGATCTCACGGCTCGTGGGTTCGAGCCCCGCCTTGGGCTCTGTGCTGGAGCCTGCTTCAGGTTCTGTGTCCCCCTCTCCCCACCCATCCCCCACTCACATTCTTTCTCTGTCTCTCAAAAATAAATAAACATTAAAAAAATAAAATACAGAAAGCACAAAGAAGGAAACAAGAAAACCACCTGTAATTCCTTCACTAGAGGCAACAACAATATGAGAGAGAAGGGAAAGAGAGAATCCTACTGTAATATGGACTATAGCTGCCCTATTCATTTAATATTTTGTAAGCATCTTCCCATTTTCTTGTTCCTCAAAGTCATTTTTCATGGTGAATATACCATGCTGTATCCGGTGCATCCTCCAGTGTTAGACGAAGACATTGCTTTGGGTCTGTTTGGTATAATAAATCACACTGTCATGAACAGTCAGGTGTATAGATCTTTGCACGGGTTTCAGTGAATTTCTAGAGGCTAAATTGCCTTGATATATGTTGCTAAAGGTCCCCCAAATGGAACGTGTGCCTCATGAGTCATGTGTGAGAGTGGCACCTTTGTACCCTTGCCAATGCTGGATTATAAAAAAATCTTGGGGCGCCTGGGTGGCTTAGTCGGTTAAGCATCCAACTTTCGGCTCAGGTCATGATTTCACGGTCTGTGAGTTTGAGCCTTGTGTCAGGATCTGTGCTGACAGCTCAGAGCCTGGCGCCTGCTTCTGTGTCTCCTTCTCTCTAACCCTCCCCTGCTTGCGCTCTGTCTCTCTCGATAATAAATAAAAAACATTAAAACAAATTAAAAAAAATCTTTACCGGTTTGAATCCCAGATTTGTAAAACCCAGGAGTGCCATGCAGGCTGAGCTGATCAGGGTGCTGGGAACTTCCCTGTGGCCCCACCGCACCCGCATGGGCGCCAGGGTGTCCCGTTCCCTGAGCAAGAGAAGAAACCTGCTTCAAGATACAACCAGACGCTGCAGAAGCAATGCCAGCAAGAGGGGCCCACTTGTTAGTGCTGGCTGTGGCCAAACCTTTTTTTAAAAAAAAAATTTAATGTTTATTTATGTTTGAGAGAGAGAGAGACAGAGCATGAATGGGGGAGGGACAGAGAGCGAGGGAGACACAGAATCCAAAGAGGCTCCAGGCTCTGAGCTGTCAGCACAGAGCCCCACGCAGGGCTCGAACCCACGAACCGTGAGATCATGACCTGAGCCAAAGTCGGATGTTCCACCGACGGAGCCACTCAGGTGCCTCTAAACCTTCTAGACGTGTTCTAATTCTCAGCGGACCCCTTGCAAGGTGGATAGTGGAGCTCCATCCTACAGATAAAACTGAGCTGAGATTCAAACTCAGGGCTGTCCTAGGTCACTGCTCCATGCCCCTTGCCTCCTCTGGACAGGGCAGAAGGAAGCTTTGGTTTCAGGTACATGCACCCAGTGTGCTTCCACTGCCGAGAAAGACATCTAAGCACCCAGCAAAGGGAAAACAGAGGGCAGGAGGCAAGGGCTGGGGAAGTTTGGAGATGAAGTCTGTGGGCGCACAAGGTTCTTCTGGAATCATCCATTCCCTGGGGGGCCATGAGCTCCTTGAAGCCAAGAGTGTGTCTTATGTATGACTCTCTTCCCTTCCCACAGTGCAGTGTGGATACAGAGCAAGAAGGAAGGAGGAAAGAGAGAAGAATATTCTTTGAGCACCTACTGTGTTCCAGGCACTATTCTAGGTGCTGGGAGGTAAATCACTGTCCGCATGGAAATTGCTGGGCGGGGCATGGGGGGAGGGGATGCCTGACAAAAGCAAACGGCAGTAGATAAGTATGTGTGAGGGTGACGAGTGCCATGCAGGAAAAGAAAATGGAAAATGGGCGAGAGAGGGCTGGGAGCATGAAGTAAACAAAGTGGCCTGGGAAGGTCACATTGGGGGAAGGTGGGGGAGAGAGAAGGGACAGAGAGAGAAAGGGAGGGAGGGAGGCTGGAAGGAAGACAGAGAAAGAAAGAAGATTCTTCTGCAGGCTCTAGTCCCGCCTCGCCCCGACCCTGTGGACAGCATTTGGATGCGACCGCACTTTCCAGCCCATCTGCCCCCCTTGGTCTTCATGGCAGACTAAGCTCTCAGCGTTTTCCCCAAAGTGACCAGTGGTTTTATTGCTAGTGGCCCCGGGGGAGAAAATGGCCACTACCATGATAAGGCCAGGCCGGCGGGCTGCCTCCCCTCGGATGAGCCCCCCCCCCCCTCTCCCCAGAGTGCCCATGCTTCCAGCCTGATGGGGGCGCCAGAGCGGGGACGGGAAGATGGCAGCTCTCTCCCCCACCCCGGCCCTTTGTCGACTTCCTCCTACCCTCAGTCTCCACTTCATTCATTCATCTCTGATCTTTCTTCCTAGCACCGGCCTCACATTATCTGTCCCTCTGTAGTCTGTCTTCCTGCACCAGAATGTCAGCCCCCAAGGGCAAGGGCCCCCAGAAGAGAGCCTGACTCAAGATGGTTGCTCATTAATGATTTTTTGAATGAATGAATGAACTCAATTTATTCAGCAGTCAAAGCATGTACAGAGCACCTACTGCATACACGGCTCAGCATTAGTCCCAGATAGCCTCACAAAGACACCCCCCTCTCCGACCCCCCCTGGTTTGTACTATACAGGAGGAGGCACAAGTGACTTGCCCTGGTGGTCAAAGCAGAATCAAGGACATTCCCGTGTAGTTGAGGGGAGCTTGGTGGGCACTGCGGTGATCAGGGTGGGCTTCGTGGAGTAGGCAAAATGATCTAGGATTTGCAGAGCACACAGGAAGTAGACCTTTCCTTCTCTGCCCTCTGGCTTTTCTTATCTCACCTGCCCCCCCCCCCCCCATCCAGATGATTCCAGGCCACGTCCCCATCCTGACTGGTACTTCCCCTGGCCACCAACAGTCTGGAATTCTGGGCTCGTCACCTGTGACTGGGGTTTAAGAAACTGGCTGCTCAGGTCTGTCGGGCCAGACAGGGGTTTGCCAGAGAGGCTAGCCACTTCCTCCTAAAATGTGGGTGACTTGACAAGTGGGGAAGATGGGCAGGGATGACAAATTGGGATGGTTCCCTCCCCAGCTGGAGGGGAGGGGTATGGCAGCTGCATGGGCTGAGGGGGGGGGGGAGAGGTGTGGGGCAGAGGTGATTCAGATTGTCTTGTTTGGGGTCAGGGTGTCCCTCTTCCAGCCATGGTGGTGTCTCCTGTCCCTGCATGGGAGAGGAAGCTATGCAGGGACAGTCACTGAGTCACTGTCATTGCCCTTCCCTGTGCCCGTCCCTCTTGGCAGATCATCACAGCACCCTTGGCATTTTTGGCCTCAGTCCCACATCCAGCCTGAGGTTGTGGCAAGGGCACAGGCCAGGACTCTCACAAGGTCCGGGGGCCGGTCCCAGGCC